TTTAGCCACTTCAGATGCTTTCAAAACAATTATTAGGTCATCTCATTCAAACATGTCCACGGTTTTATTCGAATAAAATGAACAGCAGGAAAGATAAAAAGCTAATACTTTGGTGTGAAGTCAAGCAGATCTTGTCGTTGTTAACGACCCGATCCCAGCGTCTAGAAAACACTGGACACCGCGCAGCTTCTTCATTTCAAACAAGTATAGACAAGATGCTTTTATTCAGCATAGATGATCAACGAATTGTCCTAGCGCTTCCGAACGAGTAGGGCGTTCAGTTCGATAAAACAACTGAGGTGGCATGGCTGCAGTTGGGAAAATACGGCTGATAAGAAGAGGCCACAATATCCGTTTGATCGAAATACCCGTGAGCAATATGAGCTATGTAGGGTCTGGTATCGACATAGGTGATGATATCGTTATTGTAGTTTTATACTGCTATTCCTTTGTCAATTTGTTCGCTAAGAAACAAGCCATAAACTTGAGAAACGCCGGAGGTTTTTTCCCGACAGAGCCATTTAAGAGGCACACCTCAGAAATCCATCGCCATAATAATCATCCACGTGAACCCACGTGACTTCTCGTGATCCAATTCGGGCAGTTCCTCATTCGCGTTAATCCAAAGTTGACACTTCTGACTTTGGCCTCAGCGTACAATTACACACAAATTTCGTTTATGAGCAGGGTCCAGTTTGATAGTCTTAAATGCCGTTATCGGCAGAGAAAATCATTGCTACAGACACCAATTCGATTCTGGACTCCTGCATCTGGGAGTAAATGGGATATCCAAAAACATGTTCTGTGGACCATCCCAATTTTTGGGCACAATTTGCGTAACAGGTGCAGCTAGACTGCAAGTCTCGTGGGCAAACATCGCAAAGGTTCAACATCTGTGATGCGCCATTTGAAACCTCATTTCATCCACCCGCTCTTCTTGGGGAAGGTGGACAATATGAACGCGTCCTCAACCACAACTCGCTTCCGTTCTCCCTTCTTTGAGCTCTCACACCATATCTTCAACGTAGCACTTCGAGAACACTGTATCACGCGTAAGTTGAGCCAGCACACACAGAATTCGAGTTGCGAATTTTCACGTGTGTCACCAGTCATCTGGAAATTCCACCTCGATTTGGGTCACTATGAATTCTTTTATGTGTTTAAGTGTTTCCTCCTGCAGCACTATAAACTAAATTAGGGTATACCGTAGCTGGGTGTGCTAGCTTAAAAGCAAAAGCAAGTAGAATGCTCTAGCTCTTTTACTTTTCCCACCATTTCTCTAGATGTCTGGACATGTTTGAATGAGTTGACCTAATATATCTTCACAATCGAATAATATCGTATACGTATGCATTGATCTTTTCGTTTTGTTTGTGCGCCATGCGCTCTGGTTCTATTGGCATGCTAAAAATATTGAAAGCGTGTTTCCAGAGCAAACGTCTATGGAGAGCCGTGAGTGTGATAATAATTCGTTTTCCCTGCGGGTGTGCTTCCTTTTTCTGGCGTAAATTCATCATCATCATATCGTCATTTTTCTTGGTACCAGTTTTGCTGGAAAGATAACTCTAAGTGGAGGCAGCCAAACGCTAAAGAATGAGGCTCTTCTCACACATCAAATGGCTCTAGTTCCCATCTTTTCTGGAGTACATCAATCCATCTGTTTAAGTTGCTGAATCCGTTCGACATCATAACGTTCTTAATCATGGATTCTCTGACACAGGCTAGAATTGTGGAGAGTTCAATTCTCATTTTATGTCAGGCCCGGCCCAGACTGTGCGATCAACTTGAAGCCTAACGTATAGGACTTAGACTTAGCTAGGTTTATTATTGTACACATACGACTTGTGCTAAGCATTAGAGTCAAGCTGACCGCACAGGGTTGGCTTGCTAATAGCCCCCCCTATGGAAAGTTGTTTGAGGTGATCTGATCTAACGAGGAGAACTAATGTACCCCAGAATCTTGTCATCACACCACCTGCTCGCTTCTTGCTGTAGGTGCGACGCTACAATCAAAGATTTGTTGACTCGCATACATTTTGATGTTTTCCAGACATGCAACTATGAGGAACAGAATGATTATCTCAACCAGAATCTACTTGAGCTGCTCGAACAGATTTGTTGCGATGAGAACTTGTCCGTCATCCAAAAACGGAAACGATTAAGGAAGGTCAGTGTCTTGGTACTAATAATGGGAATTAATCGTGTTCTGTACGGTTGAGTAATGCAAAGCACATGAACGTGCTTATCACATGTACATTATTACGCATGACACAATGCTGGCAAGTCTTTTTGGACAACTTGGTTTAGTATTCGATGCCTTTCGAGAACGGAATAGATGTGGAGCATTGAGGTTCCGATCAATATTCAGGAAACTTCCCAGGCCATATGTATGGAGTGGTTCTATTTCAGTTAGAAGTCATCGATTTACCTGGGATTTGACTGCATAGAGAGGAGCTCAGGGGTTCATAGAATTATCACATTGGTAGGATGAGAATCACTACATTTATGTCTTCACTACACAGCTTAGCTGAAAAGGTGACATCAGACTATCTGACAATATATGCACATTCAAACGCCTTCAAGAATTGTGAATGATTGTCTCATTGTCTGCTCAGAGATGAACAAAATTCCGATAAGAATTGATGAAAGACGAAAAATTTCGTCGGGTGATGGGGCTGCAGATCAGTCACATGAAGGCATCTTCAACTAGACAAAATACATGGCTGAGTAACCCCGAATAGGAACGGAAGCTGGGCTGGTTACTGAATGCAATTCGGTCACGAAAAAAAAACAAAAAACTCGCTCCTATTCCTCAACACGAAATCACGATCAGTGTAACCATGCAGAACAAACTGTATCTAGATAGTCCCGCAAGAGATTTTCCAAGCGGACCAAACTAAACTGCACGGACATTGAAGGTTTAGGCGGGTGTGTGGCGTTGTCCTCCTGGGGTCAGGCTGCCGCCGCACGCGGCGATCGGGCTCGTCGCGTGTGCGGCGATTCTGCGATGTGGAGGTTTTTACTAGTCCATGCTGTTGTCCACCGTTGCAGCCTTCACATTTGATTGTCAAGTGACGAGGTGGCTAGTCCCAAGCACAGTAAGGCTCTTCCACTTTGATGTCTCCCATGGAACATGAGCGCCAGAAATTAAGTTTGGAAATTAAGAAACGCTGCGGAGAACATTGGAACTTTCTGAAACAGTCTGAGTGAACGAACCATAGTAAACTGCGTATTAAAGCAGAACTAATCGAATGAAAAATTCTCAGTGGCAGCTTCGCAAAGGCATATTTTTGCATAGGTTCACAAGATAATTAAAACAAGGTTGCTAAAACAGGATACTACAGTTTGAACTTTGCACACAAACACCTTCGAGTGACGTTATGCTCATTGAGAACGCGAAAATCGTCACACCAAGTGGGGTTCGCTCTTTTTTGCAAAATTTCGAGCATTTTTCGAAATAACGCTTCATTTTTAGAGAGATATCACACGTTTAGCATCCACTGACAAGCGCAACCCCAGTAGTGTTTACAAATGCATTTGATTTAACAAAAGCAAAAATATCCACCCGAAGAAAGTTACGGATTTTGAAATAAGGAACCCCACGCATTCATAACACGTCGACGACATGCGTTTCGCACCCATGTTGCTAAATTTTTTCGCTCATGCACAACTTTTCCTCTGTTTTTTTTGAATTTACTCATATATTACAAGAAATTACATTACATGAACGGCGAGGTTCACCGAGTTGTGAATATGCTTCTTTTTGGCGAAGGTTCTCCAAGCCTTACGAGTTCTCCAGTTCGACCCATTCCTGGCTTTTCTTGGAATTCTCATGGAAATGTCCATAAGAATGAGCAGTTAAGGTAAATACAGATTTTCTCGTATGACCAGATAAATGATTAAACTTTAGCGATCACGCCTAAAAACGCTTTTGAGATGCACTATAGCTAAAGCAACTGAAAATTGCCCACTCGTCGACATAGCAAGTCATTCTCATTGAACCTCGACCACTACACCTCCCAATAACTTAAGCACATTGAGTGTTGTTGAAAAAATTTCATCGAATAAATTTTGCGAATCTACAGCTCAAAATCACCGATGTGAAGTCTGGTTCCACGCAATGAAGAAACCCAAAATTCTTCGCCCTTTTGGAAAGGTGTGAAACGTTCATCCTTCCCGAGAACGTGCTCCAATCTCACTTACAGATTGGAAAAAAATGACATTCAATCCATGGTCTCTGTTTAGATTTTTTTTGTAGAGACCGAGGGTGTGATGCGTAAAGACCTACGTTAGAAGCTGAGAGCTGAGGGGGGGGGGGGGTGGCGTACTAGGAATATTTGAATATTTTCTGCAATTTTCATCCATGTCTAGCCCTGCTGCAGCCGCAACGCCACCTATGATGCACGCCACCCCAATCGGGATCTTTAATCCCACAACTAAAAACTTATTATACAAAAATTGCCGCTCCTACCAACAATATTATATGAGTGTAGAACAATGATATGTAGCTCACCTTGATAGGGTCGAAGAATTGCACGCTGCTTGCTCCTGGAACGGGTTTCCTCACCATGTACTGTTCTGTTGGCATGACCTGAATAAATATGGATGATCCGATGACCACATCGTTTATTTACTACTAAGATCTATCTATCTTCCATTCTGCCTTCGAAATGGGCGTGGTTGCACAGACGGCTCCAGTCCCCTCGGCCGATTCAATCACTCCCACTTTGAAGCCGTTCACTTTCCCTTTCAGCAGCTTTCAAGAGTGAGTTTTTGTTGAGTCACACTTCTTATGTTTCTGACTTGAGCTAGCGCATCGTTCTACATCATTAGTGTCAAAGGTAAAAACCCTGCTGGACTGTAGGCTTTAATGAGACGGCGTTCGGGAAGCGGACTCAAACGGTGCAGCAGCCACTAATTCTAAGAGCGCGCTTGAGTAAGGGGGGGGGGGGAAGGTGAGGAGGTAGGACCGTACCAATGTTCCGCTAATAGCGCGTCTTCAAATCACCATGTCTTCTCAGCCACCCTTCACACTTACTTACCGACGTGCGGCCAGTGGCTGCACCGTGTGACCGCGAGAAAATCACCCACTGGCGCCTAGAAACTCAATGATGTTGCTCACGATGTGGGAGGGACGGTTACATTTTCGCCGTGGGCTTTGCATCGTAACACCACATTTCTTCTATTGGTCCAAAAAAAAAAAAAACTTCCAAGTGGACGTATTCAGTGAGAAGCACGCGATAGTGTTAAATACAATACTAGAATTGTAGGGACTTCGTTTACACCGAATCTCTGTTAAGTTCCTTCGAACTAAACAAAAATCATCTCGTTTTTCTGAGGGAGCAACTCCGCACAAGCAAAAAAAACATTCTCCAATAATTTGAGTTCATTCAGACTTGGCGATTGGATGCTAGATTTTTGTTAATAGTGTTCGCCGGAAAAAAGCTTTATAGGCCTTCATTAAGCGAGTTCTCCACCAGCGATAATTCACAATTCCGTCAGAGAAGACAATGGCGTTATGTTCTGAGAGCAACCTCTGTCAGAGACAGAAACGAACCATCTCGCTATGATTCTACAGCAGCCCTGTCGATAGTTATAATATGAGAAGAATGTTCTGCCATGAAAGATTTCTCTTGTATTTTGCATCCCCATATTAGCTGGCATAGGGTAATAACAAAAGCAGTTCTGCACAGGTCTTGTAGAATATGAACAAGAAAGGTCTTGAAGAGAAACATTTCCTAGATGAGGTTCATGCCAGCGAGTTAATAATCCATCACGGTTACAAAGCTTAATGGCTTTATGCTACCAAGCAAGTCCGAAATTTATCAGTACGGAACTAGAGATTGGCAACTCACAGATGCCTGCAGAGTGAAAAACCTGTAGGAAAGCGATGGTAACCGGCTACTCCAGGTAGAGGTTTTCTTTTTGAATAAAGCAATGGATTCAGTTCATGCCATTTATCCCAGGAATTACGGTGACCATCTTTATAACGCTGAAGAGACGAAAAGAGCTGTCATTTGCGTTTACTCAGGACTTCTGGTTACCGATGCGAGGGCGGTTATAATTACAAAAGGCTTTCTTTTGGAGCTCGGATGAACTATTCGCGCTTCTATGTCTCATCATTATCACTCACTCGTTGTAAAGGCGCTGCTAGGATGATATGGTTGAGCCTCGACCTCAACTAACCTTTTCACGTTGACGTTCTCGAATAGCTTCCTCGACTTCTGAAACCAGACCTTTTGGAACACCGAAAACCTTTTTCTCATGGTCTAGGAGAATCGAGACAAGGTGAGCACGTTGCGGAGCAGTTATTGTAGGAGATCCACGAAGAGATACTATACACCTAGACAGACCTCTCAGCACCTGGAAAGTATTCGTAAGAAGCCAAATGACATGAGTTCTCAATGATAGGTTCATTTTATCACCAACCGCCTCCCGATTAGAGTGCAATTCGTCAAGTTGTAGGCAGTGATTAGCTGAGAGTTTGTTCATGAACCGTATCAAGTAGTGAAGTTTACGGCGACGAGAAGAAGGGATAGAAAGAAGTACAAGGGATAATGCTTCCAAAAGCGAATCTGACGGCCTTGGTCGTAGCTCTGAAAACAATACAGTAACTGTGAGGGATGGCAGACCTACATAAAAAGCAGACAACCTTCTTCCAGTGGTGTCACTACATGTGGGCACACGGGCGCTTGTAAAGAGCGAGATCCACACCCGGATCGACAGACCTCATTCAAATCAGGAAGCTTCACAGATTCTAAATAATTTGACATACCTATGAGGCCGCTGCTCAGGTGGTAAGGTGTTAAAACAACTAACCTGAAGACGATCTACAGGATATTTTACTAGTTGACCTAGGTTTCAAACACAACTCATCGAGACGTTTCATCAAATCGGGACTCTCTTTCAGACCAGGGAGATTTAGTATTTCGTCATATTCGGGCAGACCCTCCACTGAATCAACTTTGAATCACACAAATAAAACCAGATTACAAAGATGACGCCTACTGACATAGGTAAGTATTGTGTCGTCCCTGACCGACGCTTTTCAGAGGTGGATGGGAAACAGTAGATAACACAGAACTGGTACGCCTGAAAAATGCGAATCAAATTTCGAGAGTTTACCTTTCTATTGGCGTAACGTATTTATTTGCGTGCATAAGAGGAAAATGAGATCAAGCCGCAAACTTAACCAACACTGTGTCATCTCCATCACAGACAGGAGGTTGCCTACCATCGGCACCATTCCTACTCATGGCAGATGAACGGCCACAAGTTTCCACATACGACGATCGGCTTGAACTCGTAGACGTAGTGGAAACATAGTGAGGAATCTGGAAACAACATTACTTGACAATACTGAAGTGCTCTTCACTGAGCGGCCAACTGTTTTAAACACCTTCGCTTATACCTTGCTGCAAAACAATCCGTGTATCATCACGAGACACACCTCAAGATCAAACTGTTGGGGTAAGAGTGTTAAATTATGAAAGTAGGGGTGGGAAGTAATCGCCATTCGAAAAAAAGAAAGAAGTTGTTAAAAACACAGAAAATACGGCTACTCGTTCTAAGATGTGGAGGAGAATGAGGGGCAGAT